AAGGATTCTGGGGCTTCGTCTGACATACTTTGGACATGTTGCCAGGAGGGACGGGTCCTTGGAGAGGGACATCATGCTTGGGAGGGTGGAGGGACGGTGCAGGAGGGGAAGACTCTCTATAGATGGATTGACTCGGTGACTGGGGTAATCAGGATGGGTGTGTTAGAGGCAGTGCAGTTGGCGCAGGATAGAGCAGCGTTTAGGGCTGTTGTGCATAGGGTCGCTATGAGTCGCAAACGACTCGACAGCACATAACAACAAACAACAAAATAAAATACTACTGGAGATCATGAAAAAATATCTAGAAAGAAGAAACAGAAAGAAATTTTAAAAAAAGTATATTGGCTTTCCAAATAAAAAATTATAAAAAAAAAATAAAAATAGCTAGAACAGTACATAGACAGAGAACTGCCAGAAGTTCAAGCAGGATTTAGTAGAGGAGGTTTTGGGTGTGATGTCTCCTACTTTTTGTTTTTCAGTAGAGCTTTACTTATTAGGAGTCTCGTACCTTTCCAAATAAAGTTGGAAATTACAAAAAAAAAATAATGTGGAAACTATGTATCAGTATGGTGATTAAAGACGGAAGGCATCACAGCCCTGGTGCACGGAGCGGGGAGCTTCCCTAGGACGTACCCTGTGACATCAGTTTGCTGTTATTTTCTTAGAAAAGAAAAAAAGGGAGAGAAGCAAGCTGAAAGGCATGACGTCAGTACCACCAAGAGAGAATGGTCAGGAATTGAAGACTCAAGCCCCTTGATACAGGGAAGGTCAGGACACACACAGGCCTCCAAGGAGCTGAGCCTACAGATGCTGGAGGATACCAGGACTTTCTTCCCAAACTGACACACAGACAGGGCTTTCTCCCAGAGCAGCCACTCTGGATTTGGACTCTAGTCTCCTAAACTGTAAGAGAATGACGTTCTGTTTGTGAAAGCCACTCCCTTGTGGCATCTTGGTTACAGCAGCATTAGAGAGCCACGATAGCACGTGTTTGCGTCTTAGTCTGTTTTAGAGACAGTGGAGCTTGATTCCAGCTGCCTCTTCCATATGGTCACTTTGCGCCCATCATCTCTAAGAACAGCCAAAGTACATGCTCTTTTGTTTCTGCTCGCCGGCTGTGGCTGGGTCACTTCTGGCTACTCTCACTGTGTGTTAGAGAACAGAGCTGCTCCTAGGCTGTTTCCAAGTCTGTGGCCTTGAACTGATTGCCAGGCCTTTCTTCCAAGGAGTCGCTGGGTGGATTTGAACTGTCAACCTTCCTTCACCAGGAACCTTTTGGTTATTAGCCAAGGACTTAGCTATTTCACCAATCAGGGACTCCAACCGCTATGTCCAGTCCCAGAGCGGTGGGCTCAGCCCTATCATGGCTGCTGCAGGACACTCCTGTCAGAATATAGGGGCATCAATGCCCTTACGTTAAAGAGCAGCAGAAAATACACTGGAAAAGCAGTATCTCCCACTCGAAGTTAGTTCTGTACTTCCTGCTTATACCAAAATGTAACCTTAGCTGCCATCTCTAGAAACATGTTTTCAATAATTAGTTCATCATGAATCCCCATAACTAATCAATCACAGGCAGGGCAGGGGTTCCGTACGTAGGGGATCTGGGCTTCGACCATTGCATTGTATAATCCAGAGATCTCAGGAACATCCTGGTATCCATAGCGACCCAGCTGGAATCCCAAAGCCCAGTATGGAATCATCGCTGGCCGGCCAATCAGCTGCAATCAAAGAGAAAAAAAACCAGATCCAGGTAAGTTTGGGAAGGGAAGGAGGGGAGCTTCCGCTGCAGCCTGTGAGGTGTCCCTGCTGCTTCTGGGGAGTCCTTACTCAGGAGAAATGAGCCCCAAGGACACTGCAGGATTTGGGAACTGCAGGAATCTTTTCATCAATGTTTCCCTGTCATGTGTAACTTCCATTCGCAGTAATCAGAGAATGTGATGGTTATCAATGGATACAGATTTTTAGGAAGGCTATTTAGTAACTATCAAAGACACAGTTATGTCTTCCCACAGGGTCTGATAAAGGAAGAAAGAGCCCCGGTGAGATGATTGACACAGTGATTCCAACACTGGGCTTATACACAGTGAGGGGGCAGCACAGGAGGGGCAGCGTTTAGTGATATTAGACACATGGTCACTGGGCGTTGTGAACAGCAGGACCTAACAACAATCACAACAACAACAACAACGTGGAGGGTGTATTCATACACCTTCATGGCCCCTGAACTCAATCGTGACTTCTAGGAAAGACCGCAGCAACACAGTGGGGACACATGAGTGTCAAGCGCAGTCCTGAGAATGTCATAATGCCCAGTAAATGTTGTTGTTGTTGTTGTTGCTGCTGTGTACCATCGAGTCGGAACGGCCCCATAGCTGACCCTCTGGCAGGTTTTCAGAGGCAGTTAGTCACACAGGAGGAGACTGCCTGCCCTCCCGCAGAGCTGCTGCTGGCCTTGAACCACGTGCCTTTGGGATTGCAGTGCAGCTTCTTGCCACTAGGCCAGCAGAGCTCCGTGATGAACATTTGTGTTTGCTGATTTATCAATGGCTAGAGTGGCTGCTAACCTCAGTATATTGTTGAGTTACGAGTTCAGGGCTTGGCCCTAACATCACATAAAAGTCGAAAATCCCTCCTGTGGTGCGATAGGTCAGGGCAGGCGTGGGCTGCAGGGTCACGTCTGTAAGAGAAGGGAGACAGAGAACGTTGTTGGAGCCGTCGGAGCACCCAGCCTGGAAACCCGCCCCGAGACGCTAAACCGTGCTCTCTTCCTCCAATGCCCACCTTCCGCGAAGTCTTCTACCTACCGGAATAAGAGATGGATTTTTCAGATACCCCAGAGCTACATGCAGTCAGCACACATCGCTCTGTGACTGTCGCTACGGAGCACAGTATATGCATAATATTATGCACGAGCAGAGACCATGTTCGTGGTCAACATTTCACTCCGGCCCATGATCTGAACTAAGGCCAAGCCGGACTCACTGCCCTCAACTCAGCTCCGACCCACCACGCCCCCACGTGTGACTGAGAGGAACTGAGCTCTGTGAGGCTTTTCAAGGCTAAAATCTCTGCAGAAGCAGACAGGACATCGGGCCTGCAGCTGCCCACGAGGTGCACACAGATGGGTGACTGGACAGTCAGCTCCTCTGTTCCTGTCTCCTTGTCCCTCCAAGTCCTGTTTACACTGTACCCCATACTCCATTAAAGGGGTCTCAGTTTGTGGGGTGCATAGGGAGGGTACCCCGTCTTACCCATGGCGTTGCTGTTGAGCAGGAGCACCCCGTGGGCACTGCCGTCCTCCTCCAGCGCCATGTAGTAGGGGTGCACACCGTAGGAGTTCTTCTTGTACTGGGGGAGAAATGGAAACTCAGAAGGGAAATCGAGGCAGTGTTTCCACTTCACAACCCAAAGAGCAGTTCCAGCTCCACCTTAGAGCCGAGGGTCAATGCCATGTCCGGGCAGAGGCTTCCCTCAGCCCTCTTCCCCGTTCCAAGCAGAGTCCCCGCTGAGTGCTCCTGTCTGTCCTTCTGTAACGGCCGGCCAGCTCTCTAACGGCACCCTCTTGTCACACTGGCCTCTCTTGCTCAGTCACAGCCTGTTCCTCTGAGAGCAAGGGCACTGGGTGCCCTGTTACATTCAGAGCTGGGCACTTAGAAACATGCCGGTAGGGAGGATACATTAGATAAAAGAACAAGAAATTAGAACAAGAAGTGGCATGAATCCCCGATCCACTGATTTAAAGTCAGTATTGACTCCAGCCCTGCTGGACGGAGAGAAGGGAGCTGCGTACAGGGCCCCCCACAGCTGTGCTCCCACCAGGACTCCTCTAACAGAGGACCGTGTGTGTCCTTAAAAAGGAAAAGGAACTGCCACGGAGGGAAACATATTATTGCATTTGTTTGTCTTTAGGAGCCCTGGTGGCGCTGTGGGTAAGTGCTTCACTGCTAATTCACAAGGTTGGCAGTTTGAACCCACCGGCTGCATTTCAGGAGAAGCATGTGGCACTCAGCTCTGTAAAGGCCCCGGAGGCTGGTGCAGCTGTTGTGCCAGGTTGTGTGGCATTGCCATGAGCCTGGACAGACCTGACAGACATAGTCTGTTGCTTTGGTACAGGGTTACTCACCCAGCGGTCAGCACTCAAGCTTACCGGAGCTCTGAGGGAGGAAGACGAGGGTGTGTGTTTCGTAGAGTCCAGCCTTAGAGACCCTCAGGGTAGTTCTCCTCTGTCCTGCAGAGTCGCCCTGGGTAGGACTGACTGGAGGGCAGGGGGCAGGTGGGTTTTTGGTCCTTACCCCTGGGGGCTCATCCCGAGCAAACATGCCCCACGTGTTCCAGCTCATGCTTCTCCTGAAGGTTTCGTGAGCCGTCTCCCCAAAGCCGTAGATGTACTGAGAGGGCAGGCGGGTAGAGATGGAGAGGAACATGTCGTTGAAGGTGAAGCCAGGGAGCTGAGAGTCCCAGCTGCAACACAAGGGTGGAGCCCGTGCTGAGGAGGTTGTGGGCACAGCAAACACTGACACGCTGGGTGTCGGGCTGTGCAGACCCCTGGCCTCAGCACCCCGCTGTGTCTGCACCTCTCCCGGCTGCTGGTGTTAGTGCTGTGTGGTGGCCCAGTCCTCACAGGACAGCGACTCCCTACCGGGTGTTCTGTCCACTTGATCACTCTGAGCTTTGCAGCCAGCAGCTGCCTGGGCTCTGGGTTCACGGCAAGAGAACCAAGCCTCATTCATCCCATGATCTCCATGTTTCTGTGCTAGGAACGTCAGCATGGAAGATGAGTACATGAAGTCCCAGCAAATGTCCCGAAAGTGGGGAACTCTGGGGACAACATTTCTAGATTGGCTCAAGAACTTTGTAGCAAAGGGACAGCAGACACATGGTCATAGAGAGCAGAGGCAGCCCAGGGAAGGACGCCTGCTCACACATGGTGATGACCTCCACCAGGCTGGAGAAACAGATGGAAAATCAGACATGTGGTCCCAGAAGGCAGAACCCGGCTACAGAGAGACACCTATACACAGGTGTCAACACAGGCCAAGTGCAGCCCTGACTCCAGTCCAGCCGGATGTGGGGTGAGAAATGAACTCCTCTCCTGCTAGCCCCAGCGAGGGCTCTAAGTAACAGTAGATGGCAGAGAACTGCCCCTCCCTTTGGGTCTTTGCCTCTCATCATTTCTTGACAGCTCGTAACATACATAGTGATGATGTATATCTTTGGTGATGTGCTGTACTTATTAAACAGCATAGTCTATTCCTTACTTAATCAGAAGGATGACTGTGACTGTATATTTTTCTTTCTCTGAAATCAAACATCTAATTCACTTTTATGAACCCTTGGCTTGATTAATTTTTCTTGTTAATAAAAAATGAATTCTGTGTTGAAGTAGGGAGAATGAGACATACAGCCAGTCCTGTGAATAAGGGCGTGAATAAGGGGATTGCTCTTCCTTGCGTTCAACCAATTGCTGATGGAAAATGTTTAGGCAGGAAAAGTAAGAAAGTGGCCAAGGCAAGGCCTCAAAGGTCTAGAGGACTTGGAAAGTACTGACAGAGTACTTACACTGGACTAGGGATTGTCAGAGACGCAGAGATGGAAAGGGTATGTGCCAATGCTGTGGCATTTTATATAAAGGACTTGGATGTCTGGATTCCTGTGGGGATCTTGGAACCAATCCCCCTCCTGGCTTCTGGGCACCTCCGTGCTCTCTGTAACTTCTGTGAGCATGTGCTCTGTACAAAGACTCTACCATGATGATTTCACCGTCTCTAGTTGGAATCCTTGTCCAGAAGGTTGCTGTGAGTCATAGTTGACTTGACAGCTCCCAGCAACAACAGCTGGACCCGCAGGTCCTTACCCCAGTGAGCATGGCTTACATCATGGCTTGGGAGCTCTTCCGACGAATCTGGATCCCAAATGGGTTGGTCTGGATGTTGACGTCATACAGTGTCTCAGAAGAGTGTGTTTTGTTGTCCGGGATATTGAGGGAAATAGGGACCTCATATCTCGTGCTGTTGGCATCGTAGATCTGGTGAGGAGAGAGGAGATGTGGCCTGAGGGGTCTTGGAAGCCCACTGTACCAGGCTATCAGGTTCCCATGTCCTCTGGTCCCTTTGGACGACCTCACAGGGCACCAAGAAGCCCAGCCTCATAGAAGCCAACCCTTTCCACACTCCCCGTCTCACTGAGGCTCAGTGATGCCCGCTCCCAGGTGTGTACCTGTGATCGTGTGCATCTGTGTGTGTAAGTGTACGATTGTCTGTTACTATGAGTGTGCTCCTGTGACTGGGTGCATCTGTGGACATGTGAGTGTGCACTGTGGATGAGGGAGTTCGTATGTGGTATATGAACATACGAGTAAGTGTGGGGATTTGGGTTTTTTTCTCTCACTAGTTTATTTACAAAATTCTAATACAAATTTGAACAAATTCTTTCCATTTCCGTCCCCCCCACACCCAATGGTTAATCCCCTCTCCCCCTCGTAGTGTGAGCTTTCGTGTACCTGGGACTGTGTAACAGTCCATGTGTGTTGTGTGTTTGAGCCTGCTCGTGGACACACACGTACCTCGGTATTTCTGTGTATGGATGTGCATGTATGTGTGCGTATACAAGTCTGTGTGTGCTGCTCTTCTGTGTGCATGAATGGCTGTATAAGGCGTGCATGTGTGTGAATATCCATGTGTGTCTTGGTTGTATGTGTGAGCATGTGTGTACTATGTGTATGTATCTACATCTTTGTATGTGTAAGTGTGACTTGTGTGCATGTACCTCTTTGTGCACTCTGTCACTGTGGTATGAATGAGTGTGTGGGGGGTGTTGTGTGTGTGCATACCTGTGGCTCTGTGTGTATGAATGAGCTTGTATGTTGTGTGTGTGTATCTCTGTGTGTATGTATACGGGGTGTGTGCATGTACCTCTGTGTGTACTCTGTCACTGGTATGAAAGAGTGTGGGGGGTGTTGTGTGTGTGTGTATACCTGTGGCTCTGTGTGTGTGAATGAGCATGTATGTTGTATGTGTGTGTGTATCTCTGTGTGTATGTATACGGGGGGGGTGTATGTACCTCTGTGTGTACTCTGTCACTGGTATGAAAGAGTGTGTATGTGGGATGTGTGTGCATATCTGCAGCTCTGTGTGTGAATGAGCATGCATGTCGTATGTGTGTCTGTGTGTGTATCTCTGTGTATATGATTATGTGTGTGGTGTGTGTGTGCATGTACCTCTGTCTTTGTGTATGTGAGTGATGATGCATGCGGGCTGTGTGTGCGTTTGCCCGTGCGTGTGAGGAAGCATTTTTGGCTTTCGCTGGCCCCTGGCTCTCTCATGGCCTGGATGCTGCCCGGGAGCCACACTAGGGTTTTCCTTGTTTCCAGCACGACCAGCACCCTCTCTCCTCCTCTGATGCCCTGAGCAGCATTGAGTACCTGTGAGGTCAGACAGCACTGCCATCGTCCACGCTGTCCACTCCATGTCCCCTCACACTGCAGTCAGATAACTCTGCCTTTGTCTACTCTGTCCTCCCTGCATGTCCTCTCACATGGTGGTCAGACAGCACTGCCATCGTCCATGCCATCCACTCCATGTCCCCTCACACTGTGGTCAGATAGCTCTGCCATCGTCCACGCTGTCCTCTCCACGGATCCCCTCACATGCTACACAGCCCCTTGCACACGTGACAAGCTGACTGTACAGGCCCACTCTCAGAGTTACCTCCCTGGGAGACCTTGGAGGCCCCAGCATGTGACCCACAGGGATCCCTGAAAAGCAAGGTCTAGACCGGCAGTGTTCACGACACTCAGGCGTGTGTGCTGTGCTGTGCTGTCCAGACTGTTCGTGCCAGTGTCTGTGACAACCAGCAGGGCATGTGCACTGTGCTATCTAGACTGGCTGCCCATGGCAGTGTCCATGACACCCAGGCATGTGTGCTGTGCTGTCTAGACCAACAGTCCATGGCAGTGTCCTCGACACGCAGGCGTGTGTGCTGTGCGGGTCTGAACAAGTATAACATCCTCCATATTGAAGTGCCATGGGTCCCGTGGTGAACCTATGCTATTTATATTGCAATGCTTAAACAAAGCATTATTAAAATTGGTTTTCTCTTTTTAAAATCCTTTCTCACTGTGGTCTCTGGCACAGGAATGTGACTTGACCTCGTGCCCTCTGAGCAGAACAACTGTGGCTGGCAGAGTGATGAGCTCGTGGGAACACAGCCCCCAGCCTCTCAGCCTTGACCCCCTTAGCCAGGATCCCTGCGGCGGGGACACATGCGGCCTGGGAGTCACTGCTAGGGAACCTCTCTGATTTGTATGGTCAGAGAGTTGCCTCCCCAGGATGGAGGACAATTGCATGGGACACCTGCGGTCTGGCGCCCCGTCATGCTGTTCCATCCCCAGCAGCTCTGTGGTCACCTGCAGGCACCTCCACTCACTCCCTTCCTGACCTGCCCCTCATGGGCTAGTGGGCAGTCCGTGGCACCCCTGCCCAGCTGTCCATGCAGAGCTCCAGGGGAGACCAGGAGCCATTACCTTTAACTGCATCATGGTAGGTGTGTGGTAGATGATGCTCACGCGGAGAGTGGCGATCTTTTCAGAACGGCTGTCAGAGGCAGAGGCGCGGGACTGGTGATGAGTGTCCACTGCTGGAGGGTCATCCAGGGCATCTGGCAGGAGGTTGAGGTCCAGCATGATGCCCGTGGACAGAGTCTGAATGTTACTGGCAGCATAGCTGGGGATGGTATCATAGTAGCACACGGGCACTCCAGGGACATTTGAGGCCTGGAACACAGGGGAGCCTTGTCAGCTTCTTGTCACACTCCCAGGCTATGTGGGGACTGTCTCTGGTACCAGGTCCAACTAGAAAGACATGCCCCGTCCCCTGCATGGGGAGAGGCCTCCAGGACAGGGGTCTAGGGATGAGCTTCTGGGCGGATCTCTGGTCCAGGGTGATAGCGCGTCAGAAGTCACAATGCCCTCTGGGTGCGTTCTCTCTGCTGTTTCAGCGTAGTCTTTGTTCAGGACAGACCTTTAGCCTACCATCCAGGAGGAGGGGCTCCGGTCCACAGAGTGCCTCGAGAGAAAGACCTGGCAATCTGCTCTGAACACTCCGTGGTGCATGTTTCTACTTTGCCACAAGCGGCTCTGTGAGGGGAGTCCAGCTGAGGGCACCCAGAGGCTTACTGTTCACATGGAAAGAGACAGCTATGACCTGTGTTCCTGACAGATGCAAGAATGACTGACAACGAGCCCACCTCGATGGCTCCATTTAAAAGGAGGAGTTCACCATCGCTCCAGGCGACAAGGGCTCCCTGTTACTCAGATGAGGAGCTCTGGGTCCTGGCTGCTGGCTTTCCAGAAAGTGCTCTGGTGGGCAGTGCTTAAAGCCTTTGCTTCTGCTCCACCAGCCACTCTGCAGGAGGCCAAGGAGGAAGCAGGGTGTTGTCCTGGGGTCACAGCCCTAGACGCACTTCAGGGCGGGCCTCCTGCTCTGTCTACAGAGCAGCTCAATGGGAGAAGGTTTGGGGGTCACTCAGGGGGCAGCAGTTGGCATGGGGTCTTTCTGGAGAAGGACCGCAGTCCAAACGTGAGGTGATGAAGGTGTTATTCAGGTGTCTAGTTATCGGGAGAGCCCTGCACCCCCTGGTTGTGAGGTACCTCCCACAGGCACCCCCGCTGCTTGCAGCTCTCCTCGGAGACAGCTGTACTCTCAGGGTAGCAGTTGAACTTCTCTGTGTCATTGACCGGCAGTGTCCAGTTGATGGAAAAATCCTCTCCCAGGGCCAGTCCTGGGAGGTTGATACGCAGCATCTGGGGGGAGCAGAGGCACAGGGATGGGCCTGCTCATCTGAACCACCCTCCTCCCCACAGCTTTGCCTGAGAATGTACACAATAGGCCCCCTCTGTTTCTCCTCTGGGGTGTGATCTCTAGTAAGCAAATATGTTTACTGCTCTGTAGGGAGGTCAAGGCCATGACCTTTGTGAAGGCCGTCCCATGCCTGTCTGCTGAGGCAGCACTTAGGAAGTTAACATCTTGCAGCGTTCTGAGCAGCAGTGTCTGCCACGTTGCAGACATGCAGGAAATGCCCACACTTTCTCCAGTTGTCCACTCACATGTGGTCTCTGAGCACGTGGTCTCTGCTTGGAGGCGGAAGGAGGCCAAAAGGCTGACAGAGAACAGGGGCCTCCCTCGTGCCCCAGCCCAGACCCTTCCTCCATCATCCCAAGTGGAACCCCTGGAAGCTCACTACTTCTGCCTCATCCTGCCTGCCCCGTGGAGACTGAAGCTGCCTGCTGTCTGGGAATGCCCAGAATCTGGTCAGGGAGAGCCTGCCGACCAGGCCTCAGGCCAGGGCTGCCCACACATTCATTATGGGATAGAGCAACCACTCACCTTTGCTGAATCGTTGTAGTCAATGAATGAACAGCTTGAACAATTGACAGTATTACTCTTAGAGTTGATAGTAACATTATCCGGATTCTTATCCATCCCCACGAGTATGATATACGTGAAAGTGAGGTTGTTAGAGTTTGTATAGTTGTGATGTATACATTTTGCCAGCAGACCGTTCTGGGAAAAACAAAAGTCACTGTAGAGACTAAATGGGTTGCACTCAAGTTGTCTCTCTGAAATCCCCAACATCCCCTTCCCAGATGCCTCATTTCTCTCAGAACTTGTAGGCAGTGCTAGCACTTGTCCCAAGTAATGAACGCTAATCATCCTGGCCTCTCGCAGTCCTCTGTCTTCTGGTAACATCCATCCCCCTCGTTTACCCTACTCATTTTATTACTGAGAATTCAGTCCTGAATTTACTCCAACTTCTCAAGCATACAACATAATAACCAATGAAGAGTAAAAATTACACACATGCCTATATACATCTGTACAGACTCACATGGGCACACACATGTTTATGTGCTCATTCACACACATGTGCACACACGTGCACATGCACGCTCGATCCACACACATACACACATATTCGCACATACATGTATAATCATACATATACACACATACACACTATGTGCACAGCACATGCAAATGAGCAAAAGCACACATGCACACAAAGAAAGCCATAGACATTCTCAAACAGACACCAAAATATTCCCCAAATGATGCTGAAAATCACGGAGAGAGGCCAGGCCTTTCCAGGCTGATGGACAGGATGGTCCTCTGAGACCAGGGTTCTTAGTGACCCTAAAAGCCTGGAATTAAATGATCCCCTTGACTTAATGTTCAATGAAATGATAAATAGGAAAACATAAACACCAGGGAGGAGCAATCAATCAAACACCACCTACAGGGCAACATTTCCCCCCTGGCATAAAATGCCCCAATGCAGCTCGCTGAAAGCTAAGGGGACCTGAAGAACTTACTAAGGAAGATCAAACACTTAAATATGAATCACACCTTAGCATCAAGAAAAGGAAACTCTCACTGCATCAATAGGCAACGTCACAATACATGGAGAAAAGAATGAAGTTGTCAGTGATTTCCATTTTGCTTGGCTCCATAATCCACACCCACAGACGTAACAGTCAAGAAGCAAGTAAATCTGCTTTAAAGGGCTTCTTTTTTCTTTTTTACAATTTTTATTTTTGTTGCCATTAAGAATATACAGCAGAACATTACTGCTTTTAACTGTGATTGTTATTTTGCCACATTTAATTTAGCACCGTAACTGTTCAAATGGTTGTTGATTGAGCAACTGTTATCTAAGTGGGAACTCTGTCCTGGAATTAAGCACTCTTCAGTGGTTGTTACTGTTTGATTTGCAATAAACCTAGCCCAAGATTCCATATACAAGCTATTTTTTAATAAAAGCATTACATTTTAACTTTAAAATTTTTAAAGTACTGAAGAGCATGAATATCAGATTTATAGATCAAAGTACATCTGATTCAAACTATGGTGCTTTCAATAGTTTCATATACATGTGAAGGTTGAATAATGAACAAGGAAAACCAAAGAAGAAACACCATAAAGCAACAGTGCTGGCCCAAGAGTGTTAACTATACAATGGACTGCCAAAGGAGCACGTTTGTGTTAGAAGGAGTGTGGCCAGGGTTCTCCTTAGAGCAGCGCCTGTGAGACTGTCTCACCTCCATTGGGCGTGTTGTCAGGAACGACCTTGGAAAGAGATCCCTCCACAGCCCTTGGTGATGGAGGAGACATCATAGTTGGGACAAAAGACTCAGGACAACCAGCCACAGAAGACAAACAGACAGCATTTGCACCAACACGAAGTTTAGAAAGCAGAAAGAGACTGATAGGAAGAATGAACGGAAATGGAGAACCCAGACAGGAAGCAGGAAGTGCTCTCATTCTGAGAGAATTTCAACTCATGAAACAAATCGTGCATAAACTGTTGAATAGAAAATTTGTCCTGCAAATTTTCACCCAAACCACAACGAATTAAAGAAAGCAGCAACCACCTCAAAGCGGTACTTACGGAGCTCACAGAGAAAGTATACAGGACATGGTTGCCTGTATCCACAGAGCCTGCAGAGAAAGACAGAGGAGCTCCGTAAGCGGTGATGTGATTTTTCAATCCTCTAGAAATCCTGTGTCATCATCAGGCGGTTCTCGTCTACACTTCACCCATTGTTTCCAAAAGCCATCTGCCTCATGGTTTCTGCTAGAACTCTTCAGCCAGCCAAGCTTACCATTCCCTCCTCTCAACTCCCGACAGTTGTGGTGCCATTGTTTCTGGCATGCCCCACATTTTGCCTTGAGTGATCTACTTGCCTCTTCACATCTCTTGCTAGGCCTGAAAGGAAATGCTTCATGTTTTTCATCTTTGTATCTCTAGAGTACATATCAAACAGTACATAACCAATCAGCTGGAAGCTCCAGACCACACGGTCACTGTGGAGTGAAGCGGTCACTGTGGAGTGAAGCAGTCCCAGCGACCTGGCTGTGCTGGAGCTGAGCTGCCCCCGGGGTTTCCAGGGTTGGCCTTTCAGAGGTAGAACACCAGGCCCTTCTTCTCTGCCATTTCTGGATATATTCACACACCCAACTGTAAGTTACCAGGTAAACATCTTTGTCACCCAGGACCCAACTACCCTCTGAATCTACTGCTGTCCGGTTGGTTCTGACCCCAGGGACCTTCCACTGGGCTTCTGAGGCTGTAAATCTTTACGGAGACTGTTCATCTTCTCCTCTGGAGCAGCTAGTAGATTTGAACTGCTGATCTGTTAGTGATCAGCCCGATCGATTACACACTGTGTTACCAGGTCTCTCTTATTATTAGCCGTATGTATTAATACAGACAAATTCTATGCAGGGCAGGATTTTAATACAATCACAGACCACAACCTTATGTAAAGTACTTATATGAAAATCTTACAGAGGAAAACATGGAACACAAATGAACTCACTCTTTTTCAGTAGCAATTAAAGCAACGTCGTTGTGTACCGTGGAGTTGGAACCGACCCTCAGGTGATATTGTGGAGGGTTTTCAGAGGCAGTTAATTGCACAGGAGGAGACTGACATTCTTTCTCCCGCGGAGCAGCTGGTGGCCTTGAACTGTGTGCCTTCAGGACTGCAGCACAGCTTGTTGCCACTAGGCCACCAAATCTCCCTCTTTTTCGGTAGCAATTAAAGAAGTATATTTATAAATCTACTAACGAAAAGGTCTAAGCAATGTTTCCTCCTGTTGTTTATACAGGGTCGCTATGAGTCAGAACCAACTCAATAGCACCCATTAGCAGCAATTAACAAAATGTATTGTCCTGAGAATATGAGAACTGAGGCACAAACTGAGATTTGTTCATCAGTGTTCACAGCAGCATTAGTCACCATCACAAGAACATGGAAACAACCCTTACGTCCAACTACAAATGAATGGATTGAGAAATTATGGTACATTGACACAATGGAATACTATGCAGCACACAGGAGCAATAACTTTTTTATTTATTACCTAACTTGGGAGGGACTGGAAAGCATTACGCTGAGTAACCTAACTTGGTCCCACAAGGATATTGTATAAGATTGTCTAAGACCATTATTGTAGAATGAGTATAAGGATCCAGGAGGGGTGGGAGAGGCTGGAAGCAGAGGGATGTGGATGTGCAGGGGGAAGAGAAGATTAATCATTGGATTGTACAATTTGTTGGGGCGGGGGAGGGAAATTGAAAGAATTTGTTCGAATTTGTATTAGAATTTTGTAAATAAACTACTAAAACAACAACAACAACAAAACCCAAAATGCATTGTTTGGTATCAGTAATGATCTCCAGCAAAGAGGCTAAATCCAGCCAGGTCTGTGGCCTTAGTACAGTGAATAACAAACCAAGCCTTTCGACAGCACATGTTTGAGGTCTGTCTTAATTCATCATACTCAGCTAGCAAAGCCTACACATGTAATGCTGATTCTGAGGACGCGCCAAGGGCACCACAGGGGGAACCTACCTCTGGATACACCGTCATCCCAGTACAACTCCCCCTTTGCCTCTCTCCTGTGATCCAAGGCAATGAGAAGTCCCAGAGGGTTCTTGCGGCTGTAAGAGAGTAAATTTCTGTTTATGGGGGTGAAGAAGAGATGGAACTATGCCATAACACCCCCTCTGTGCCCCAGAGCCAGACAACCCCAGTATCCAGCCCAGATAAAGCGGAGACATTGACATTTTGTGGGAACGATGAGTAAAAGAAGTAGTCCCTGCTGAAAACAAGCTTTGTGATCTTAATAGCAATGGACATAAATGTTCACAAACATTTCATTGTTGCTTATAAATATGCCAGATACCCTTCAAGTGCCCTACATACATTATTTCAGGCAATCCTCATAGTAACACTAAGAAGTAGAACAGATTTCCAAGAACATAGAAAGGTAAGTTGTCACAGGGAACGCTTCGAGTATTGAAAGGTAAACCTAGTTCCAGAGTGTGCATTCTTGACCTTCACATTGTGTTGGGTCCCCTATGATAGCTCATCTAAAATTTTAACAAGTTCTTGGTTCAAACCCATCTTTGTCTCCACAGGAGAAAAGACGTGGTGGTCTGCTTCCATAAGGTCGTGCTGAGGAAATGCTCTGAGGCAGGTCTACTCTGTTCTGTGGGGTTGTTATAAGTTAGAATCAACTCAATAAGCCACAAGCACAGTAATTTCTATTTTAACTTGCATTCCATCATGTCTTCGGAATATACATGACAATAGTCTGTGGTCCTAGGGAAGTCCCTGTGAATGATTAGTTTTATTATCCTTTAAAAATAAGTGCCAATCTAAAACCAGAAGAAAGGGACTCTCCCCTTGTTCCTGCTGTGGATGAAATTCCAGTTGTGGACCAAGCTTGACAGAGAGGAGAACGGCCAGTGAGTTAGTCTTACTTTGTTCACCCATCCGAATCACGCCAGCCGCATCACTGGGGCTTTAGCATGTTCTCTTACTAGAACCTAGAGGCATGTACCTGATCTCCGTGGTGGCGGCTGGCTGCTGGACAGGGAAGATGTAGCCCCCTCGAATAAGAAGTCCTATCTTATCTTTGGGGATTGCCATCTGTGCCTGTTGTTTCCTCCACGGAACTGTTTTCATCTGATAAAAAAAAAAAGATCACATGATAGGCTCTGTCATGAATTGAATGGGTCAGTCCTAAAATATGTGTCAACTTGACTAGGCCAGTGTTCTCAGTATGATAAAATGATCTTGGTGGAAGTGCAACCAGGAAGGTCTTTAGAGTCGAGAATGGTGAAACTTCATCTTATATAATTTGGGAATGTTGTCAGGAGAGGCCAGTTCTTGAAAAAGACACTATGCTGAGAAAGGTCAGTAAAAGAGGACACACCTCAATGAGACGGGCTGAGAGTGAGCAACAGGCTTGAGCATCTCAGTGATGGTGAAGATGGCTCAGGATAGGTCAAGGTTCAGATCTATTGTTCATAGGGTCACTATAACTCAACATCTCCTATAATAAAAACAATCTCCCAGCTCTGATGCTCCCTAAACCAGCTCAAAAGAGGAAACCACCATTGTTGCAGTCTGCCCTCAACTACTATATACTGTACACAGTTTGGCACTGGTACAGAAGTGTACACACAGGCCAATGGAGCATAAGGGAGAACCCAGATGAAAATCCATCTACTTATCCATAGCTGATCTGATTTTTTGGCAAAGGGTGGAATCAAATAGGGAAAAGACAATCTATTTAACAAATGGTGCTGGCAAAACTGGATATCTATCTGCAGAAAATGGAAACAAGATCCATAGCTCACACCATATACACAAATTAACTCAAGATTAATCAAGGATCTAATAATAAGACCTGAAACTATAAAGATCATCCAAGAAAAAAAAATTGTACAAAGTTAGGACCCTTAACTATGATGTAAATAGACTATCAACTAGAACTGGTAATGGCACAGTCAGGGCACATTTATGACTTTCTAACAATGAAATCCTTATGTGCATTAAAAGAAGTCTCCAAAATAGTAAAATAAGAACCTATAAACTGGGGGGAACTTTTGTTAATGGCATACCTAACAAGGGACTTATCTTTAACATATATAGAAAACTCTAACAATCCAATAAGAAAAATACAAACAACCTAACTATAAAATGGTATTGTTGTTGTTGATTGCCTTCAAGTTGAACACGACTCATAGCGGCCCTGTGAACAAAAGGCCTGAAGTCCCTCTACAACTACCAACATTTATCAAAGTTCATAGAGTTTCCAGAGGCAACTTATTTAGGAAGTGGATGCCACTCCTGTTTCTAAATAAAATGGTAGAGGAAACAAAAAGACACTTCAACAAAGAAGGCATTCAGATTGTCAATAAATAGACTAAGAAAAAGCTCAAGATCATTAGTTATCAGATGTAAATCAAATCTACAGTGAAAGTTCATCTCACCTCAGCAATAATCATAAAGGTCAATAGTAAACAAAGCTATAAAGAGATTGAAATGCTGACAAGGTTATAAAGAGATTGGAACTCCCATATAATGCTGGTAGAAATGTAAAATGATGTAACCACTAAGGGAAGCGTTTGTAACTTCCTTAGATAGTTTGGAAATAAAAATACTATGTGATGCAGCAATTTCACTAGTAGGTATGAATCCTAAATAAACAGGAGCTACAACATGACAGAAAAGTGCACACTCACATTTAGTTCTGTGTTATTTACAATAGAAAAATGATGGAAACAACCTAAGTGTCCCTCAAAGGATGAATGGATAAAGAAACTATGGTACAGTCATACAATGGAGTACTATACAACACTGAACAAATACAGAATTCTATAGATACCACACAACTGGACACAGCGAGAGGAGACTATGAAGATGGTCACAACATGGCACATATTGAATAACAGCACTTTTATAAAAGTAGATATTTATACATAAGAATAATTGTTGTTGGATGGTTACCAGGGATGGAAAGGAAGGGAGAGGGTAGTAAAAATTAGTAAATAGATAATAGGCACTTATTAAGATGAGCGAATAGAATACTGATGTACAATAATGGATGGATAAGCGTAATATCATTTTTTAAAAGACCCAAAGACACACAGAGGTATGGAAAGATGGGTGGAGATCAAAATTGTGGGGAAGTGTGGATTTTGAAATCAATGTTACAGAACAACAAGTGCATGAATGGTTAAATGAGAAAAGTTTGTGAACCTCTCAAATCACAATTACATATTGTTACACAATTAAAAGATAAAAAAATTAAGTAACACAAAAGTAAATTTAAACTAGAAGAAATTCTGTGGGCAGTTTCACTCAACTCGATGGGAGTGGTGGTGGGTGGCTCACAAGTGGACTTTCATTCTAATCCCAAATAGCTGCATGGTGGCCAGATCTAGATGATAAATACTCCTATACACATTCCCCAGTTACTCAAATTATGTCATAGTACATTTGGGAATGTCTTCTTCACAGAAAAGTACTAGTCAATAAAGTGCAAACCTTGTATTTCCACCCAGGCTCTCAAACTGCTCCATCAGAACTGTTCTGTGCCAGGAAAGATCCACACTCAGAGCCATCTCACTTACCGTCTCAAAGTCATACCAGATGGCATCTGGAATGTAGGCAGTCACCTGCTCCATACCCTGTGGAGACAATAATGCGTAAGGTGACCATCACAGTTCATAAAATACCTGTGTGATGGCCTTTGACCATCTGCGAAATCCTACAGGTGCACCAAGTCATCCTATTTTGCAAGTGGAAACAAGAGACTCAGAAAGTTGAGTGTTTTACCCAGAGCCAGGAGAAAGCAGAGCTCTAACTAGAAAGCTTGGCGCCTGTGCTGTCATTCTCGGGGGCTTTACAATGGAAACAGACTCTCCGTTCACAGAGTCACTCACGTAACTTGACAGGTCAGAGGAAATGGCGAGGCCAGGTAGACCTTGGCTGGCTGCAAGCCCTGACATTGGATGATGCAGCTAAAACACCAGCCTGCAAGCCTTGGGCACGATTCCCGGGAAACTCCACTGTCTCTCCATCAGCTTAATCCTGATTGCTCCTCCAGATTCCCTCATCCATCTCTATCGTGAAGTACACTTAAATAGGACAAATGCCGTCCTTCACAGCTGGACCGCAGAGTAACACCACCCCTTGCAAAGCACTCCTTTCTTGTTCTCTGCTCTCATCTACACCTTTTCAACTCCATCCCAAGAGCACATATTTTATGGACAAAGGACAGCACAGATGGTCAATTTATATAAACCAAGATATGCAAAGCCCACCTCATCTCCATAGCCATATGCCTGAGAACCTGGGTTTTAAGGTGATTTTTTATGATGGGAGTTTTTCTATTGGTAGACTAATGGAACCAAGAGTGACTATTGTATAAAACGCGATGTACATAAATGAAACACAAGATATAAGAATAATCACATAAAACACAGTGAAGAATAATAAAACCCAATGTATA